TTCTTTCAGATATTTTCTTAGCTGAGTGTCAATGCCTTTTAGTAATTGTTGTTTATGTGCTCTACCACCAGCAAACGTTGACTGAATAATTTTATCAATAAATTGCCAGAGTAATGACGATGATGTAGAAAAATTAAAATTATCAAGTTGTCAATCTTCTGATAAGCGTGCTCTGATTGACTTTAATCTTGCTTTTTCAGCTGTCAGTGTTGCCTGAAATGAGGAGAATTTAGTTTTAAATTGTAAATCAACCAGCGTCGTCAGTATATAAAGAGGTTTCTCTTTTCAATGCTTTTAAAACGCTCATCCAATCACTTGATTAGGGTTGACATCATAGTCTTTACACCTGCATCATTGTAGAATATCGTGTGTCTTTCCTTCAGAATTTTTTGTTGTGTTGTTGTTTGAAATTAGACTATGCTTATTAAATTATAAAGAAATATAAATAAAAATACCAAAACAAACATGAGGTTCATAAAATATAGAATTACAAAAAAAAATTTTATAAATAAAATATTAGGTATACATGTAAATACGGGCAAAAAAAAATGTAATAAATATTTGACCAAAATTCAAAACTCCGGCTAAAATTATGCCGAATTTGCTAATTTTTTGCCGGAGCCGGATTTGTGTCGGATTTGTAAAAATTGCCTGATTTCGGCCGGAGCAGGCGCCGGAGCCGAAATCCGGTACAGCCCTAATATATATATATATATATATATATATATATATATATATATATATATATATATATATATATATATATATATATATATATATATATATATATATATATATATATATATATATATATATATATATATGTATATGTATGTATATATATATATACAAATATATACATATATATATATATATATATATATATATATATATATATATATATATATATATATATATATATATATATATATATATATATATATATATATATATATATATATATATATATATATATTTTTTTTTTTTTTTTTTTTTTGAACTAAAAACTTGTGCCTATTAATTCAAGCAATTTATGTTTAATTCTGTTAAAAGACAAGTGCTTGGCTAAGCAATTATACATTTGCTTTCAATGAGCGTAATAAAATTTTTACAAAGCAGATGTTCATAAAAAAAAAAAAAAAACATTTATATATATATGTCGAGAGTATTTATATTATATAAGAGGCTTTGAGTGAAAACGGTTTTTAAAAGTCATAAGACGAGTAACATTTTATGTTCTATATAAAACGAATACTAATACTTTTTGTTATGTTCTATATATAACTAATACTAACTCGGTATACTTAAAATAGAACTAGAAACTGGCTTGGGTTATTTAACAAATAAAGCAAGCTAATTTTTAATTACATGTCAAAATGTGAAGTCTTATCAATAGCAATAAAGAGAATGAAGATAAAAAAGGAGTTCTGATACAAGTGTCTATAATTATGCATAGTATTTGCCGACTATAAAATAATTTATAATTAGTAACGACAGGACTTTTAGAAGATAATGAGGATCTTGTCATAAATCTCTTTACAATATATTTTTTTACAAAATATAATTTTTGATAAAAATACTATGGCCATAGTGAAACAATTACACACATGTCCTAAAGTATACACATAAAGTATACACATTGTCCTAAAGTATGGAAAAAAGCTAATTTAACACCACTGTTTAAAAATGGAAGTAGACTCGACCCAGGCAATTACCGGCCTATATCCTTAACATCAGTTGTATGTAAAGTGATGGAGAAAATATTACGTGACACTATGGTCAATCATTTAGTCGAACATAGCCTTATTTCAAAAAATCAACATGGTTTTGTCAATAAAAAAGCTTGTGTCACTAATTTGTTGGAGTCGATTGACATGATGTCAAAAGCATTATCTGACAAGATATCTATGGACGTAGCTTTTATAGATTTCAGTAAAGCATTCGATATGGTTCCCCACAAGAGACTAATTTACAAACTTGAGGCATATGGTTTTACTGGAAATCTCCTGAATTGGATAAAATCGTTTTTACACGAGCGTTTTCAACGAATCGTGATGGACGATTATGTTTCCTCGTGGCTTGAGGTATTTAGTGGCGTCCCTCAAGGATCCGTATTAGGTCCAATACTTTTTATCATTTTTGTGAACGATATATCCGATATTGTTAACCATCCATGTAAAATGTATGCTGATGACACTAAACTGCTGGCCCGTTTAGACCACCCATTAGCTTCACAAATGCTTCAAACTGATATCTACAACATAGCCGATTGGTGTAATACCTGGAAAATGAAACTTAATCTCGATAAATGTAAAATCATGCACATAGGTAAAAAAAAAACTTTTATGTCTACTTAATGCCAGCTAATAACAATAACAGTGTCGAACTTGCATCAACTTTAGTCGAACGTGATTTACGCATCATGATTACACCAGACTTAAAATGGCATAACAATTCAACTTTTGCTACCAATAAAGCTAACCGTGTATTAGGCATGTTGTATCGTACTTTCAGTCACATGACTCCGCAACTACTTAAAATTCTATATACAACTTTTGTACGACCTCATCTGGAATTTGCGGTAGCAGCCAGCAATCCATCATCAAGAATAGATATTGACAAAATTGAGAAAGTACAAAGAAGAGCTATCCGTTTAGTACCTTCGTACCGTCATATGTCATACAAAGATCGTCTGAATATACTGAACTTAACGTCCTTAGAAACCCGTCGCATTAGGGGAGATCTGATACAGGCCTATAAAATTATTAACAATATAGACATTGTCTCATGGAGTGAACCCCATGTCCTTCGTGTTGGGCAGTCAAATAAAATAAAAACTAGAGGACATCATCTAAAAATGACTAGAGAATATGTTAAAAATTGTGAGCAAAGGCACCAGTTTTTTACTAATCGAATAGTGAATCATTGGAATGCATTGCCTTCAGAAGTTGTATGCGCTTCATCAGTTAACAGTTTCAAGGCTAAGCTTGATGCAGAAATTTCAAATAATCCGCATAAGTATCGAAATTATAACTGAAAAAAAAAAAAAAAAAAAAAAAAAAAAAAAAAAAAAAAAAAAAAAAAAAAAAAAAACAATAAAGTACAAACTTATACTTTATACTATATATCTTATTGTGAATTTTTATATATATTGATATGAATAAAATTAATGTATGAAGTAGATAAGGCTGCCAAAACCTGTAGGTTATACAGGGAAACCTGTTGCAGCAATTTCTCTACTACTACTACTACATGCAAACATGTTTAAAAACCAATATAAAATGTTTAAAAGCCAAGATCAAATGTTAAAACAAATATTATACTAAACAAAACAAAACAAAACAAAAATTAAAATTCAATCAAAATATTTTTAATTAAAAATATAATTTATTTAAGTTTTTGTTTGAATAAAGTAAAAGTCAGTTTAGTAAAAAAATTAAAATTTGGTAAGATTATTTTTTTCCAGAGATAAAGACCTCGGTAAAAAACAAAAAACTGATCTTTGCTTTTATGGCAAAAATGGCAATAAGATTGTTATTAATTCCAAAGTTATATTTGTTTTCATACAATACAGATTTTGTAATACATTTGGCGACAAATTTTCTCTACATTTAAACACGAAATATAAAATATTAAAGTCATTCAGTTGATATACAATTAAAACATTTCTTTAAAAAGTTGTTTTGAATGAAAAAAACGATTTTTAAAATTTATTGCGCGAGCTGTGTGTTTCTGATGAAGGTAAAGAGTTTTTAGCTTTGCTCTATGAGTACTTCCTCATATAATATTTGCGAAGTTTATATGACAATGTATAAATGAATAATATAATTGTGTTAACTGGTGTTTGCCTAATATATTTCTTGCTTTCCCAGTGGACATAGACGTAATAAAGACGTCGTTTAAACGTCTTATAGACGTTTTAGACGTCTTTTGACGTCTTTTGAACGTTTTGGACGTCTTTTGAACGTTCAAAAAACTTCTTTTTTTGGTCCGATGCCCACTGGGTTATAGAGAATTCCAATGCATTTATAAATTTTATTAGAGGTATTATCAATATGATTTTTTCAAGATAGATTTTCATTAATATATACTTAGAGAAACTTTGTAACTTTTTCTCTTTTTATCATTATATTATCAATAAAAAGGTCTGGCATGATATGGCGCAGTGTCTATTTTTTTGAAGGTGGATAAAAAAGTGTCCTTTTAGTTTTTCTTATATTTAGAGACAATCTACTTTGTTTAAACCAAGCAGAAACTCTTTTTAATTTAATTGCAATTTTAGAAAAAAAGCATATTAAAATCTTTAGAGACAAAAAAAATTTGTGTCATCTGCGAAATTTTTTGTTGTTAAATTTGATGATTTATAAAAATCATTTATTTAACGAAAAAAATAAATGAAGTATAGATCCTTGTGGGACACAAACATTTTATATTCATTAATAGATGAGATATAGAATCATTATTGTAAACAAACTGTTTACGATAAAAAGATAACTTTCGAACCATAATAGGGTTTTATTTTTAATATCATATGATACTATTTTTTTTTAATAGGATTTGATGATTAGCGGTATAAAATGCTATAGGAAAATCAATAAACACTACTCGTGTAAAAAAAGAGTCTTGAAAAGAGTCAGTTACATTGCGCGTAAGTTAAAGAATTGTGTGCTCGGTTGTTTTTATTTATTTTAAATCAAATTGGTTTTCGTATGAATGTTATTTTCCGTAAGAAAAGGGTAGATTCGGTTATACATTATTCTTTCCAAAATTTTTGAAAAAACTAAAAGAACTGAATTTATGAAACGCTCTGTCAAATGATTATTTGACAAGATGAATTGATTCATGTGAATCAATTCAATCACCTTCAATCAACAACTTTAAAACAACAATTCACTAGATAAGTAACAAATGATCAGTTTGGTTTCAATAATTTGTTTATTAAGTGAAATAGTTTCAATGTTAAAATTATTTCTCTTAATAAAAATAATTAATGCTTTAAATTATCGTTTCTATATATTTTTAAAAATGAAAAAATCCTAAAAAAGTAACAAATGCTAAAATATTGGTTTTGGATTAAGTAAATGCTTTCTTCTCGCCATCAACAAAACCATTAATAATAATGTTAATACAATAAATGTAGATGAAAATAGACTTAAGTATTCAAATGTAAACGCAGCACTTGAAAACGCTGTTAGTGTTCCTGCCGCAAACATTGAGTTGCGTATGCCATCTGCAAAAGCTTGATTATTTGAACTAACATATTTAGCTAATGTGTTTGCAATAAAAACCTCTGGTATTATACCTGCTCCAGCAAAATTAATCATGTATGCAATGCCAAAAATTAGTTGAAGTGTTTTGGTATTAAAGTATTTCAAAACAATGTAACTCACGTTAATTATGCAAATACCAAATAGTCCAATCATAACCACAATAAACATTTTTTCTTCTGATATAGGTTTGCAGATAAAAATTAATAGAATTAAAACAGAACTTATTCCTGTACCAAAAATACAAATGTTAAGTTCTAAAAGAGACAACTTCAAAGTGTCTATAACAAACAACGGAAACCACATGTCAAAAGTAACGAGAAAAAGTAAAATAAAAAACGTGCAAACCAACAACAAACAAGTATCAAACGATGTAAACAGCAATTTCAAAATCTTAAAAATGCTCAAATGAGTTAATGAACTTGGGGCTTCATTTCTAATTTGAAGTTTTGTAGAATTGAGTAGTGGTAAATTTTCATTAGATTCATTGTTTATATCGGAAATCACTTCTGTATTAGTTAAGGATACTGGAGACTCTCTTATTAATTCGATATTAATACTTCCGACGCTTTCATCTTTTTTTTCTTCTATTCCTTTTAAATCAAATTCTTTCGATAAATTGTGAACCATTAAAAACGATAGTAAACACATGATTAAACAAACTATGGTCATAAATATTCCAATAAAATTGACGTTTTTTAAATGCCAACATCCAATATAAAAGTCAATTTTTAAAAATAAAAAATTAATACAAGGTCCTACTATGAATCCAGAGTTAAAAGCTAATGATTGAATTGATAACTGAAAACTTGTTTCACTAGACGGATAACTTCTAATGATCTCGGCGCACATAACAGAAACTAAACCGCAGCAGCCAGATAAAAATCTACCAACCACTAAAAACCAAGGAGAAAACTGAAGGCTGTATAATAAATTTCCAGCAATTAAAAAGCAGTTGCAGATAAAAAACCAAACTCGAACCTGGCGAGTGCGATCAACTATTCTCCCAATAATCGGAGTACTTAAGGTGAATGAAAGTATGTACATAACAGATACTAATGTGTAAAATAATTTTGGTGATTTGGTGTTCACTAGTTCTTTTATATATAACCAAAGAGTTGAAAGTGTTACACTGTATTCTATGCCTAAAATCAAACTTTGAATTGCGAATGCTATGGATGTGTATTTTCTTTTTTTTAACCATTTTTTATGTTGCGGGGAATTTTGCAAATATTCCTGAAAGAAAGTCATAAAACATGTATTATTATGATTTACAAAAATTTAAATGCAAAATATATATAATACATAACTACAAAGTTGTTTACACAAAAAGCAGTTTACATCGTAATTTTAGTAGTACAAGGTCTAAAACTTGACACTTTTTTTACAGACTTTATTATGGTTTTTTATAGTTTATAGTTAAAAAACATTTAATTTCTACAAAAGTTATTTACAACAAAATAAAATTATACTTTAATACAAAAACTAATCCACCAATTATAAATATTTGTTGATAATCCAAATATAAATATCTTAAACTTTTATTATAATTATATTTGATAAAGAATTTTAAAGTGTTATAACTATATTTATATCTACAACTAGTATATTAAAAAATTGTTAGTCTATAAAAAATCAACAGTCTAACTTGCTGAAATCTCCAGTTGTCTACAAACTTTCTTTTTTTTTTTTATTGATATTTGATATTTGCCAACTATACTTCAAAACTTGTCAACTTAAATGCTAAATGTACAAATGTGCCAACTCAAATGTATATATAAAAGTTTTTTTTAGGGAGAGGGGGTGGAAACTCTCCCTACACTACCCGTTTGGGACGGCCCTGTTGCTACCTGATTTGATGTATGTTTTTGATTGATTTAGTTTTAATATGATTTGATAAAATTTGGATATACGTATATAGTTAGCAATGCAAACCCCGAGCGCTTCTCATTATACCTACATTATCTCTAGAGGATAGAATTTAAGTTAATTGGCAAATGTATGAAAGTCAAGCTATATTGCAATAATGAGTAACATAACGTTAAGTGCAGGCGACGAGATCTTGTGCGAGGACACGCCCAGGTCTTTCTTAAACTTTGCAGGCTACCCAAATCGTCCTTGGTGATTAATTGCTTTCCTTAGGATGGTTGACCACATCTACAACTTAGTACTAATTAGCTATAACAGCATTAACAACTTTTAACTCTACTACTTTTAATATTTAGCTCTTCATTAAATTTTTTTTATCTTTATAGACACTGTATTTAGTCATATTATTCATTTTACTAGTTCACAGATGGTATTTAATATTATTACTTTATACTAGCTAACTTAGTTTTTTTTAAATGAATTTACCGACACACTAATTTACACATAAGCGCGATAACACATACCTATATTATCGCCACTTGCATAAAATGCCTAAAAAAATTTATTATGCTCGCTACGCCACCCCACCACCACCGCAACTCTAATATATAGACTAGTTTTCCATTTATTAAGAGTCTCACTCAAAATTTACTGACACGCTTAGTGCATATAGACAAGATACCACATACCTATATTATCTTCACTTGAATAGAATGTTAATAAAATTTATTATCCCCCACATCACAACCCTAACCAGCACCACTACTCTAATTTATAGATTAGTTTTCCATTTACTAAGAGTCACACTATTTCTCTGAATATCTGTTTTACACTGTCTGACATTTTTGAAAAATAAATGAAAACAAATAGCCAAGTATTTAAAAAAATATTGATTTGATTTTTAAAAAGTACTTTATGATGTGTATGTTTTTGTATTTTAATTTGTGCTTGTGTTGTTGTACTATACATTCAATTATATTTATGTATGTAGGAAAATGATTTTTTTTGCTGAAAAACAGTTATTCTGTTTTTTTATATTCTTTCAACTGTTTTTAACAAGTGAAACATTAGTCAAGTTTGACAAAATTTATTTATAATTTAGACCGACAAATTCAACTGGAAATAATGCTGCTTCATTTGTGGCAACCTAGCATTACCCGATCCTAAACATCGTGATCGTTAAACCGTAATACAAATGCGCACGATAAAATTCAAACAAAGCAAGCTTAAGGTTTGTAAAGGAAGAAAAGATAATTGGCACTTGATATAAAATCTCGTTTAAATTGTTGACCTGGTTGAGAGTGATAAAAGTTATTTTCAACTAACAGGGAGTACGTTTCAATTCAAATATATTCGAATTTAATTCTTTCCTCTAGTAATAATAATGTGTTAATGTTAATGCTGCTGTTAATAAACGATTACCGATTACAGAAAATGTAATGAAATGACCAATTCTGACTAAAGGAAAACCCAATTAAGTATGCTTTAAAAATGCAGCTATTATTGAAAAAACTAAGACGGAAAGCAAAGAGGATTGCATCTTTGCTTTCCGTCTTAGTTATTTCAATAATAAATGTAGTTGTATCTTTAAAGCATACTAAATTTTTGTTTTTTTAAAGAAGAAGTTATATTTAAAACCGCGGCTAAGTTGATAAAAGCAGAAATTTTAAATCTTAAATTCAACACAGAGAATTATCCATCTAAATACGATATTGAGCATCATGAAGAAAGCTTGGGCCCAATTCTTCGCTTCTTTATGAAACAAATTAGATCAGATGAGTTTAAACAATCTTTTATTGGTCAAATTATAACAAAAGCTATTTGATCGCGTTGTTATGTTCCGCCTTTACTTTTTGGATTAGGAATAAAACTAGACTACAAGTTTGGATTGAAATGGTTGTCAAATGAAATATTTAAACTAGGATTTTGCACAAGTCCATCAAAAATAATACGTTTTAAACACTCTGTTATGGCTAACAGCGATAGCAATATTGAAGAATTATTTACTCAATGGGTGGCAGACAATGTTGTTCATAATGTCTGCATATTGGATGGTAAAGACATTTTTCACGGGATGGGCATTATCGCTGCTGGAATGAAAATCTCTTAAATTTCGGACAATCAACATCGAATTAAAAGAAAAGTTTAAAAGCAGCAGAAATAGTCTCTAAATTAAATATTCCATTTCTATGGCACAATGTTCTTTACACAGTTGCATTAATAAAGGTACTCTTTAAGCACATTGTTGAGCTTCAGTCACCACAGACTTTTTTATTGTTTCTAGGTGTGGATCAGGCAATTTTGTTCATTTTTACTGTCAGTGAGAACCAGTCACAGTGAAACGGATTTTTGCAACTTTATCATAATGGTAAAAATCATCCCAGAAAAAGTCAACAATCTTGGCGCCTATCATTAATTCAAACCCATCTGATGAAAACTGCATTTATTCTACACTAGGTTTTATACAAAACCAAGCAAAATCAATGAAATTACCTACTCCAAGTGTAACTTTTGATTAGCTTTTATATTTAAAAGCTTACGAAATCGCAAAATCAAAGCAGCTAGATGTAGTTATTCGATTGGGAGAATTTCACACATTAATGAGCTTTCTAGGAAGTATTGGAATGGTTATGGAGGGATCAGGGATGATTAGATTCCCAGAACAGAAAAACTATTGCTGCAATATCTTGAATACATTAACGCTATCAAAATGTTTATCAGAGCTGAGAGAATTGGGAACTGGCAAGAATATCTGGAAGTCATAAGGCTTATGCATAATTTATTTGCGGTAACAGGACATATAAACTATGCCAAAAATGCTCGGTTATATCTTCAATCCATGCATTCACTTAATTCGGAACATCCGTGGCTTTATAAACAGTACTGTAAATCAGGTTACCATTGCATCAGAAGCACGGATCGCTATTGGGCTGTTCTTTGGCCTAATTTAGTTGTTAAACAGTGCATGATGAGATCAATAAAAAGCAGTCAGGGATCAATAAAAAGCAGTGGAGGCTTGACTAGAGGAATCGGTATGTCCGAGACTACAAGTAATATTTGGGTCAGTACCTTGCACTAATACGGAGCAATCCATGAACCAATGTCAACACTTACAAAGCATCGTTTTGAGAGCAGTAAGCAACATTTTTAACCTGGTAAATCACGTTGAAAAAGAGATATAAAAGATTTTAAAGCATTAAAGGAACAGCTCGAACTAGCTAATCCTTTCGAGTTTCAAGACTCAAGACTTTAATGTATATTTATTGGCCTAAGTGCTGATAAGGATGATGAAATCAATTGTGATCTAGCAGAAACAGTTTATTTAGAAATCCAAAACACTCTTAATAATATTGCAGCTAACAAAGCAATTGTCAAGCGTTCAAAGCAGGTTAAAACACCTGCCACCTTGCTACCAGTAGTCAAAGTTAATAACGATGCAGTCCAAGTAGTCCCTAATGTTTTTTCCAAAGGCTAATCGTGCTAATAGACAGGTCCAAAGACTTGACTGACTGCTTTGAATATGAATTAACTACAAAGCCCACATCTCTCATCAAAGATGGTTTAATAAGGAAATTTAACAAAGCAGAGCTCGGTAGAGAACTCATTTAGGATTCCAAAATTTTAACAATGAACAATGACACAATTTATATTCTTGAAAATGGAGCTTTGCTGCATTGAGTTTTTTGGATTCTTTCGGCCACATATTCAAACATCATGGAACAATGGATAATATGATTACCATACATTTTTTATAAAAAAGTATGGTAATCATATTTCCATTGTCATTGATGGTTAAAAATTATCCATCAAACATCACGAACATCAAAGGAGAGATAAAAAGTTCGCCAATTGTATTCCAACCAAAAAACCAAGTCAACTGCATGCAATCTGAATTTTTTTCAAGTAGCAATAATAAAACTGCATCGATCAAAGCATTAGAAATGAGGCTAAGAGAAAAAGTTCATATTGTAGTGGAATGTGAATGGGACGCTGACAGAACAATTGCTATGAAAGGAATTGAAATTGTACAAAATGAAAAATATGTGACTATCATTGCTGATGATACAGACATTCTCGTGATGTTGCTTCACATGTGTGAACAAACCATGAACAATCTTTTATTGCGCCGCGAAGCCAAGAAGAGTACCAAGAAAGATGTGGAAACAATTAGCATAAAGAATGTTGCATCAAGTCTATCGTATCATGTGGAAAATAGTTTGTTATTTATTCATGCTTAGGGTGGATTTGATACTACCTCTGCGCTTTTTGGTCAAGGAAAAATAGCTGTACTGAAGTTTATTGAATCAAATTGTGAGTTCGCTCAAAATATATATAAAGTCTTTCAAGATCCCTTTGCTACACAAGATACCTAATCTTGTTTGCATACCATTATATTCAAAACCACTTGCATTCCAATAGCTAGTGTTGGAAAGTGGTTTTGAATATGTATGGTATGCAAAATACTGATTATAGTCCTTTATTTTTATCATTAATGTTATTGTTATAATTATTATTATAATGCCATATTGTTTCGCTGAGGTTTAATTTAACTCAACTATTTTTAATATATTCATCCTGCACCAATTAACATTCTTAACATCATAAGATATAAAACATCACAGATATAAAATGACCATGTGGAAAACAATGCCCATGTCGACGTCATGGAATAAAATTCATGATTGCCTGCGGACAGTGCCAAGGTTTGGAGAGCACAAATGCAACAAAAAATGACAATATCAATATTGATGACAGCGAAAATGAATCTAAATGTAGCAAAGATGGAGATGGAAACATTTTTGAAAAAATATTTGACTTTTGATTTTATTTTCAATTATAATAGTCGGAGGTAAAAAGCACCAATATTTAACTTTAGATAAAAAGCTATTCAAAATTAGTCAAATGTACATTTAGTGTATTGAAATATAATTTTAAAAAATGCATTCTAAAAACATTTATTTTTTGTTTTAGATAACAATACAAGTTAGTTTTATTCGAGGCTCAAATTCAACTATTTATTAATTACTTCTTTGGTTAAAGGTGTCAAATTTTGCCCAAATTGCACAAAAACTGCTGACATAAACAGCATTTTAAAAAATATATTTTCAAACAATTTATTTTCTATAATTTGTACACATTAAGCTCTGTTTGTGCAAAATTTCATAAAGATAAAACATTTTTATAATGAGTTATGACAACTCGTTAACCACAGACTCTCTAGTTTTTTTTGTTTGTTTTTTTCAGAAATTTTCCACAAAGTGAAGAACTAAAATTTTCATAACTTTTTTTGCCAAAAATGGATTTTAGTGGGTTTTGGATATGTTAAAGTAGTTAAAATTATGCATCAAATGATGCGAAATTCATCTTGATTCAAATTTTGTCCAGGTCTGACCCTATTTTGACTAAACTATACAGCTTGATCTACCGGAGCACAGTTAGGCATGAACCAAACCCAGAAAACATTCTATAGCGGAATTTCAGAGGAACTCTATAAGCATAGTGACTGGGCCACTCTAGTTTTCCCATTACTTAGCAGCCGGGAATAGTGCCTCGCCACTTCATCACACGATGACTAGCCACTATTTATTAACCATTCGATGACTAGCCCCTGATAATATTTTGGAAAATTATCAGCTAGCCACTTATAGCGAATGCCTTTGTTGTTGCTATGCAACTTTAATCATACTGTGATTACTTTTTTACAGCTAATAATTTAAAACAAAATGATTTTAACTTTGGTTTTAAACGCTTTAAAAACATTAGAAGAAATAAATTTATGCATCGAGACCTTATCTAGATGCATGGTTTTAGTTGAAGCTTGTTCAATTTGTCTAAAGAAAAGAAAGGTTTCTTAACCTCAATCTTTCCAACTGACGCAACAAATTGCTTTGAACCAAATATTTTCAAAGCTAAAGTGTTATTTGATAAGTTTGTTCTCAAACCTTTAATAAAACTGGATAGAACTTAACTTCAAGATGATTTTAAGATGTGGAATTGTATGAAAACTAAGACTTAGTCTCAGCAAACCTTTTTCTACATTTTAAATAAAACATGTTAGGAAGGTCTGATTTATTAGCTAAATAATCTTTCGAGATTATCGTTTTGATAAGGTTTGTTTTGTAATAAATTAGAGGTCTTAAGTTTTTACGATAGCTGAATCATCAAATTAAAATCATTTCAAAAAGATCAATATCTTTTTTCGCATGATTAAGTATTTTGAAAGAAAATCCTTCAAATAAAAAAATTTCTGGTATGCATTTATAATATCGACATGATACATCGGCCTCATAAATTAAATTTCGATGCAATGACCGAAAACAAGTTTTCAGTTCACACGTTAACGCGTGTTATCAGTTATTGTTTCAGTTATTAAAAATTAGCAACGAATAGCCGTTGTTAATTGTAAATATTTGAAATAATAATTAGAATAACTGAATTCTATTAATAATAGTTGATAAAGTTAACTGAAATAGTAGTAAGTAGTTAATAACGTTAATAGTTCAGTTTGCAATTTCACTTTTGAGACTTCAAATACGTGCTTGTGGGTATGATTTTTGATGCAATTTGTGCTGCTCAAGATGATCCCTAATCTCTAACCACGCGCACCCCTGGGATATAGTTCCTAATAGAAATTTATTAATTTTTTTGTGTTATATCAAACTAGATTTAAAAGCGCAAATAATTTTGGCGGGTCTGGGCAGCATTAAAAGCTATATTAGATTAAATATAGAGTTTAGTGTTGCAGGTTTTAAATTTTTAAGCATTGCGCAAACTGTAAACTTATTAATGTTTATGCTTATGTTAAATGTTTTGCAAAAAATTTGCTTGCCATAAAGTTAATGGATTTAATATTTTTAACTCTTTGTTCTAGATTTAACTTTATTTACAGGTTTATGGAAAGTTTTAGGACATATTTATGAAATAATCTTTTAGAGTTGAAAAACCATTAACCATTAAATGTTTACAATTCCCTCATATAGACGTTATTGGAAATCATAGATTCAAAATCAAAGACTTCATAACTTTCAAAATCTAAAAAATACAAGTTAAAATATTGCTATAAATTTAAAAATAGTGTAAAATAAATTGATTTATTTTATCAACTATTTATTTTGTCTGGCTAAAAAAACTGATTTTTTCGGGTATTTTTGATTTCTAAACTCTAACCACCGCAGTTTTTTTGCAAGTTTTTGCATTATCACTTGACGTAATCATAAACATAAATATATTTGCACAACGTCAAAAAAATCGAATTGCTTTACTGGATTGCGCGCCGATATAGTGGTCGGAACTCAATTTTGATGTTAGAAAAAGACCTTCTCTGACCTCAAAAATATAAGATTAGATGTATAATATGAATATATGTAGATATTTCTAATTTTTAGAAAAAAATAGAACTTTTAATATATTTGGCTCACTGAATAATTATTTCGTGATTCTTTTTTCTGTTTGTGATTAAACTTTCATAAATTTTATATTATCTATATGTACATTAATAAACATAATAGTTAACATGTTCAAAAAAGCAGTCGTAAATTCCTTGTCTTTTCGTGGCTTTTTTTAGGTCTTGAACTAATTTTGTTGCAAAATAATTTAGCAATTGTTAAATTATTTGCTTTTGAGCAGCGTCAGTGCAACCATCTTAAAAAGAAAATTCGATGATTACAGAACTATTGGTTCACTTATTGCTAATCTTAGGGCCTAGTCTATATATAGGATCCAGTCCTAAAATATTGATCAAAATTGAATTTCTCTACTGTATTTTACACATAATATGGAGGAAGTTGGGGCACAGTGGATCGGGTTTATTTATTTTTTAAATTGAGCAAAAGTTAAAATATGTATTCTATTTTTCTCAATGCAAAAGGATAGAGATTTATGTCCTTTATGGTATAGAATCACTTAAACCCAAATATCTATTATTTAACGGCTCACTGAAAGGTTAAAGTGAGTTGTGTTACGTTATTTACTGTGCCCTTAGTACTGGGGCACAGTGAATCAATGAACACAGCTATTAATTAATGTTAGTGAATAGGGACATAACCAAATAACTATTAGGCTGAGGGAGTAAAGACACTGTACACTATAGTTATGGCATACTTTATTAATTAGATTAGTATAAAATTGAAAAAATAGACATTTTAAAAATTGAGAAGAAAAAAAAATGAATTTTATTGATAACAAAACTTATATAAATATTATAAAAATAAAAAGTTATTCAAATATTATTATTCAAAAATTAAGACTAATAAATTTATTTTCATCTAATTTGTTTGTTAAAAATGCATGCATTTAATCTTTAAAATAATTAATGGGGCAATAAAATAATTAAGTGAATCAACCTATTGACTAGACCCCGATTCACTAAGCCCCACCATAACAAATTAAATTCAAGTCTAATTTTTTGGGACATGAGTGTTGTTGAAAGAAAAGCTAAACTACTAAAAGCTAGCATAAATATTAACAATCCGAATGAAAAACTTTAACTTCTAAAATTATTTTAACCATTATCAATAATAGTTATCCATAACAACCATTATCCATAACAAACGGAAGGTAAGAAAATTTACTTTAGTTAGCTAAAATCAAAAATTAGTTACCAAAAACTGGTAGTCAAAAATTATGTAGTAACAACTATAAATAAAGATGGCTAAAATGATTATATTATCAAGATGAACAAATTTCATACCTCTTATTCACTGTGCCCTTCAACCCACTCTATCCCAACTTTCCCTACAATATCTTTTCAGAAAATCAAAAAATATGAATGCATTTTTTAAATTTTGGTTTTAATAGTAAAGGACCAAATAATAGAATTGAAGAACAAATCAAAAATCGAACGAAGCGACATTTGTTAAAATGTAATATCTTGGCTTTATCAATTAAAAAAAATCGCCGTGCGAGTCATTTACCAATGACTCACTTTAAATGAAATTATAATATAGTTATATCAATATGTTTATACTGCTAATAAGGTTCACTAATCATATATACCAGTGTTTTCTGTTTCTACAAAATTTTTATGTGACAAAACCTTATGTGTTTAAATAAATATTTATGAGAAATTATTATATTCTTACCGTCATTTTATTTTCTCATGTGTTGCTTAATACTTTGTTATTATCTTCCAAAAAAAATGAATGCTGTCTTTCAACCAAAACTTTATAATAATTTGTATCATTTGGTCACTAAATTATGTAAAATATTTATTAAAGTTTGTTTAGATTTAAAATGTTTTTTTTATGCTAAAAATTGCAAAATATTTATTACGATTAAAGTTAACTAGTGCGTACTGCTTATGTTAAGAGACCAACAATATTTAGTCAATACACGTTGTTGTTGTTGTTGTTTTTTAATTAGAAACCATATACACGGGTTAGTACTAGAAAGTTTCTTCTTTTAAGGGTAATTTTTCCTAAATACAGTACTAAAAGTTTCTTAAAATTTTCTTAAATTTCAGAATATTAAAAGTGAATTTAATATCGAAAAAATGAAATAAATTGTTTCATACATTCATTGCATCCAAATATGCCAAGCTTAGTTTCTTCATCAAACAAACGAGCTGAAATACTAACCAAGGATACTGGATGTTTAATATTTTTACTGAAATTTTATTTACATAAGGTTGTCTGTTTTTTTTTTGCGCTTTTCCATGACTGAATGATTTTGCCACATAAAATGCTTAAACATTCTCATAATATAGTATTTATACAATATAGGTTTGAATTTGAATAGATTTGAATCGAATGGAATTCCATTCGATTGCGAGAGCAAATTAAATACTCTTTTAAACAGTCGTTCCTCATCGTAGACGATAAAAACTTTGTTTAATGTTGATGAGATGCTTCGTGTAAATAATGCGAACTTCGTGTAATGTTGTGTCGAAAAATTAGAAAATATTCCTGGAACTCCTAAATAAGTTTCTAATTGAAAAGTAATTTAGTACTAAAAGTTTCGTAAGATTTTAGGGCTTCTAGTACGAGTTTCATATTAAATGGTTTATTATTAAAAAAACAATAATGTGTAATTTGATTATAGAAACTGAATATCGTATAAAAAGATTGCAAACTAAAATATTTAATAAAACTTACACAAACCTTTTTAATATTATTATTTTTAATTTTACAAACGTTTGACTATAAGTTTATTCATTTTAACAAAACAAAAACTATAATAATGCTTTTAAATTAAAAAAATGTTTGTACAAGAAAGATCAGTATTATTTACGGTAATAATTTTTTTACTACTAGCGTTTAAAAGAAATTCATACAAATTTAAGCTGACCACAACAATTAATTCAAAGAAAGTTAATTATGAAGATTGTTTTAAGAGCAATTTCAAAACAACTTTCATACAGAGTAATTTTACAACAAAAGAATTTGTCAAAGAATTTTAAATCTGAGGATGTTATAATAAAAAAACGCTTTTGCTTTTATCTTAATAAAAGCGGGCCAACATAAGAAATAGTTTTATTTTATTTTTTTTCCGTGAAAAAGAACTTTAATTTTTTAAGTTGTATTGAGTTTTAAGGAGTATTTAAGTATATAAAACAAATAAAAATTTAAAAAAGTTATCTACGGAATTTTTTTAATTAAACAACAAGCAGCACTTTTTCATGCAATAAAACTCAGTGTATTTTTTTTTATTGCTATATATAATGCATGCTTTTGCATATTGTTATATATAATGCCTGCTTTTATATTTTTTTATATATAAAACATGGTTTTATATAATGTTATATACAGTATTAAGTTATATACAGTACTAAGGCGGAGACTGAGGAGGCTATAACCACAGGCCCACCACAAAAAAATAGCCACACTAAAAAACGATAAGTGCAGACTGTTCGCTTATTATGTTATATAATATATATAATTATAATGTTTTCTTTATATTAAAATAAAAATTAATAATCATAAAAAAATATAAAAGCGGATGGAAAAAAGCAAAAATTTAGGAAAGAAGAAACGTTTCTAAAAAGTTCTGGCAGTAACTAAAAAGATTACTGAACTCGATCAACTCTCAATATTACCAAATCTGAATCAAATATTGAACTTGGTAATATGAAGATATTAGATAACTCAACAACGAATAAAAGTCATGAATAAGTTCAAGATGAGCCAGTTCTAGTAGAATGTTTAACAAAATAGGTTAAAGTAGAAATTCAGTGTGATAAACTTGCAGATATTTTGAGAGCAATTAAGCGGTAAAAAGCGCTAACTAAGGAGATGTTTGTCTTTAACAATTTGTGATGAATTTAATTTAACTATAAGTGATCAGTTCATGAGGCAGGTCATACAAGAAATAATTAAAATACTATTCTGTCTCAGTAGACTCAACACCGGATGTTTTGCGTTCAGATCAGTTAACATTGATAACTGGTCCACTTTCTGCTATGCATCGATTTCGATATAAAACAATTCAACAGATTCTTGTAAGTATGTCTGAATCATCAACTGAAAAAACTGGTACGCGACTGAAAGCAAAAGGACTTAATACAAGTATGAAAAAGTTAGAGACTGGACTAATGGTCCAAGTATGATCAATGGTTCTAGAATGATTTGATAAAACAAGCAAATGTTTTCAAGATTTGAAATTTGAATACGGCTACAAAAATGTTGCAATCTTTTAAAACGTTTGTTTAAAAGCTTCTTCTCAATTCAGTGAAATAGAAATGAAATGTAAAATTCTGTATCAAAACGATGCGTATCCACAAGAGCATTAAAGAAAAATTAAGCAAAACAGAAGATAGGACTATCGTGATGCAGAAGCAGATGATGCTGACGTTGGATTGACGCCTTCGGAAAGTTTAAAATACACACATTTCTTCCAATTACTCGCAAGCTATAATATGTCTTGAACCAGAGAATCTCTGCATACAGTGTTATTGATGACAGATTTGGTTTTTAGTCTCAAGTTAATTCTTTAAAATCTTATGATATGCGAGCCAAAGCCGTTCATTTAGTTAAAATATACCATGAAGACCTTGAGCCTCAGTTATCCAATGAAATTGTTCAATTTATTGCTTTGTTCAAACAGTTTAACAAAGAAACCACGTCAATTTAGGGCAAAGAGTGGCCCGATTTTGACAGCACTAAAATGTCATAAACTATATATCGTTGGATAGACAATTTTATGCTGATTAGTATTTATATGAAAACTATGACTTGAAAACAATTATTTTCAAAGTTATTTACGTTTATATTAATTCATGTTTAGAAAAAATGCATAAGCGTTAAAAGATGACGTTAAAAAAAAACTTCATTAGTTTTTTTGTTTTTAAAAGATAAATTCTTACTGGAAAAAAATTAATCCTTTTTTTTATTGTTTTCACAACAATTGTATTCAATGAAACAATTTTTTATGAATGGAATAATATAGTTTTACAATAAAAAAAGTTTGTGTCTGATTGAAATGTAAAACTTACAAGTGAAAGATTAATTAATACAAATCTTAACATTTTTAATTATGATTAATAAAAATCTTTACATTTTTAATACAAAAAATGAGTGCTGTTTGTGTATTGTGAAAGCTTGGCTTTGAAAAAGAAAGTTCAGGCAAAGTAAATGGAAAAGGTGTGAAAAAATTGATTCGATTAAACGAAGTACGGAGTATGAACGAACTATGCAGGTTAAAATTAGATACATAGCAGATTTTTTGCGCAGTTTGTTAAAACTTCAGTCAGCTCATAATACCTGTGAGTTTTTATTGACATCATTTCTAATTATTTATTTATGCAATCATTTCTAATTATTTATTTATTTAATCAAACATATGTTTCGCTTTAAAACGAAAATCCGTCATAGATGTAGAAGAAAGGTTTTGGATTATCATAAAGATCAATCATTATCTATATCAAGAAAGAAACTACGATCTTCATTTGAAGAAGGTATATGATTGAAAATCAAAATGTTTGCTTTGTACTTAAAAAGTAGACTAAAACATTCACCTATTTTTAAAGTTGAGACCATACCATTGATTAACAAAATAATTAAACGTTCTTTGAATAGAGCGGACGATTAGGGAAATACTGTACATTCTCGTTTGATGTCTTTTTATGATCTTGTAGCGGAAGAAGCCATCTATCATATTTCGTGTATGAACAACTTCAGACTTAAAATTAAAAGCAATAGCCAACGCGGATGCCCATTAGATCTCACTATGCTTGAAAATTTTGAAAAACTCTGTTTCTGGTTAGAGGAAAGAACTGACTGCAAACTTTATACACTTTCCGATGTGCACATTAAGATGAAAGAATTTAGTAATGGTTATCCGTATTACTCAACAAAATCTTTAAAACAAAAATTACTTGAACATTATGGTGATCATATTTTTTCGGAGAACTTTCTGGTCAATCTAATTTAGTTTGTTTCTATCAAAATTTCAAAAAAAGAAAGATCACACTAAAAATGATATTACTGCTGGCGCTGCAAGTATAATTAAGGGCGAAATCAGAGAAATGGAGGCAAATAAATCTGTATATCCGTCGCTAGAGAATATGGGTAATATTGAATATGGACTCAAATTGGTTCCAAAGAGTTTACATCTGTTTCTAAGCTATTTAATTTCCGTAAAGCTTTAGCCCTTTGAGCGCGTAATAAAACTTAAACGCCGTACGGAGAAACTGAACTAAAAAAAAATAAAATCGAAAACAGCTATTTTGAATTTTAAATTTTTTTTTTTTGTAGTTTTTGAAAGAATTTAAGAAATGCAATGTATTTAATTCATAGCTGTTGTGTGGTAATTTGAAAAGCATCCAGGGCACAGTCCAACACAACATGACTGACACTGCCAACTGGTGCGAACACGGGTTTGGTACCCAGCTACACATTTTATTTTTTTTCCTGAACCGATTTTGACAAGGTTATGGCCATATAAAGGATTGTTAATCGCTGTGTGTTGAGGAAGTAGATATGGTACAATTGTATTTCTTGCCACTTCCATCTACCTAGATGTTCGTCTTTTTGTTACTACTTTTACTGGTTGATACCCTCCAGCTAAACTTTCCACAATTGTCATCTTAAAACTTATTCTAGACATAGGCTTACGTTCAATAGTGTTAAGCTTATACAATAAGTAACTGTTAAGAATAGCCCTGCCAAATAAAGAAAAGGCGACTTTTGTTGCCGACTTTATTTTTTTACACTCTGACAGGTACACGTAGAGCTGTGCATCTCCCAAATCTACCCCTCCCATGGTTCGATTATGAAGGGCAACAACGTTTGGCTTCATAACTAAATTACCTATTATGTTGGGCAATTCAGTAAAACCTGCTTTGGCAACAGTAGACAGTAATACAGTTTTTTTTTTACCATCTTGATATGCCACACATAAAAAAGGACCTTTTCTATATTAGCAAACTTCTCTGTTTTTTAATTTTGTTTTAAGGCAGATTTCTGGCAGACCTTTTCTGTTTACTCTCACTGTTCCTGTTGCTGTAGTTTGATGTGGTTAGATATAGATCCAATAGCAGTCGTGCAGAAGTGTAGTAGTTATCAATACCTAAGTGATAACCTTGATGGAGGAGGTTGACTTGACACAAAAGACGAAAAACCAAGTTGTAAGTCATACCATGGGCAACAGCTGCTTCATCTGGATTTTTTCCTCCCTTTTAAATTTCAAACTGAGATAAATACCCATTGGCGCTGTCTGAAACACACCATAACTTTATTCTAAACCGAGAATGACGCTTGTTTGGCATATATTGGCGGAGATGTGGTGTCTTTCCCTTGTAACCAATCATGCTCTCATCTATAGAAACATCTTTTTAAGGAATATAAAAATAGAGAAACTTTTTGTTAAAATGTTCAACTAAATGCTGAACTTTCTAAATCTTATTTAGTTGCTGTTGATTAGAGATAGAGATCAGTAAAGTGAATAAATTTAAGTAAAAGTTGAAAAC